TTTTTAAAATCCCTGATTTAACCCCGCTCGGTGTTTGTATTGGCAAAGCAAGCGTGCTGTCTGATCCCCTAGTGCTCTTCTCCCTGCACTGCAGCAGCGGGGTGAAGGTAGGAAACCAGCACAGTTCCTCTCCCCGCTCTCCCCTGATGTTTTTGTTTGGTGGTGGTGCTGTGTTGTTTTTTTTTCCCGGCAGCCCAGGAGCCATTGATTTTGATGAGCTTCGCAGTTGCGCCGCCGCGAAGGCTGGGGAGTGCTCTCTAAATGAGAAAATAAAAAAGAAAAGAGCTCATCTTAGGTTTCAGCAGACGGTGCGTGTGTGAGCCCGAGGAGGGGGTTATGAGATCATAGTCTGCACCAAACGCCGCATAATGTGGCTGTGAGGAAAGTCTTTATTAATTTTTAAAGCAGCGCTCGCCGAGAGAGCTCCCTTCGCGTATCGGAACTTCATGTTTCACGTTAAAAAAGCAGGCTGGTGCTGACCAGCCTCTCCCCTCCGCCCATCTAAACGTGTCCTTTGGCCAAATTAATTCTAGGAGGGCACGGCTGCCTGCCTGGGGGGGGGCTGGGTGACACCTGGGACAGGATTTAGCCCATTCACTCCAGATTCCTCCTTCTTCTCTCTCAGAATTATTTTCAGTAGGTAAAAAACCAGTAGGAGTGGCACCAGTTCTACCTCCCGCGTTGTACGGCAGAGCCTCCTTTCATGGGCACTTTCATGGGCTCAGGAAGAGGCATCACCCAATAAAAACATACAGCAGATCCCCCAAATCAGTGAGTTGCCAGTGATGAGGGATGAGAAACCCATCGTACTTCTGTGTCAGAGCACGTCGGCACGCAGAAATTACCCTCATTTAGCCAAGGCCATTACTAAAGCAATTTACTTAAATCAGAAACACTTCTCAAATCAGCGTAATCCGATTTGAGAATTTGCTTTGTCTCTATATCGTGCTGAAATTATAAGGGTCTTCCCTCCACTGCAAAAACAGAAGCAGTTCCTTCTGATGACATGGGTTAGAGCTTCGGCTGAACTGGTGCCGTGTCTACGTCCACGTGCACCTCAGAACCGAGCACCTTTCTATAAAAACATACAGCAGATCCCCCAAATCAGTGAGTTGCCAGTGATGAGGGATGAGAAACCCATCGTACTTCTGTGTCAGAGCACGTCGGCACGCAGAAATTACCCTCATTTAGCCAAGGCCATTACTAAAGCAATTTACTTAAATCAGAAACACTTCTCAAATCAGCGTAATCCGATTTGAGAATTTGCTTTGTCTCTATATCGTGCTGAAATTATAAGGGTCTTCCCTCCACTGCAAAAACAGAAGCAGTTCCTTCTGATGACATGGGTTAGAGCTTCGGCTGAACTGGTGCCGTGTCTACGTCCACATGCACCTTGGAACCGGGCACCTTTCCCTGCTGAAACAATTAGAAAACACAATAGAAAGAAACAACTTGGTTAAATATTGCTACGGCTGCAGTTCTGTGCTCTTTGTCAGGGAGGGGAGCCACAGGAGGAGGGGGAAGGGTTTGACCCTGCAAGAGGGGAGATGGAGCTGAGATGTGGGGAAGAACTTGTTTGGTGTGAGGGTGGGGAGAGCCTGGCCCAGGTTGCCCCGAGAAGCTGTGGCTGCCCCATCCCTGGAGGGGTTCAAGGGCAGGTTGGAGGGGGCTTGGAGCAACCTGGTGTGGTGGGAGGTGTCCCTGCCCAGGGCAGGGGGTTGGAACTGGATGAACTTTAAGGTCCCTTCCAACCCAAACCATTCTGTGATTCTGTGAAAATAGTTGATGAGAAGGACAGCACAGTGCATCTAACTTAATATTTAATTTTAATTTTCCTACAAATGGTTTTAAAACATCTCTCTGTGATCTTGACCGGAGCCTGAAACACAAACTACCGGTGGCTCCAAATTAAATCCTGGACCCACATTTTTGTGTCTACGTCAAAACCTCCTGCCTAATACTCTCCCTCCACAACAGGCAAACAAAAGCTTCACAACTTTTCCTGGGGCAAAGCTGCTCACAGCACGTTGGATTTGGAATCCACACCGTGTCTCCCACTGTGAGGTGTATCCCCGTCCCCAGCACAGGACACCCCGTGCTCTCACAGCACGTTGGATTTGGAATCCACACCGTGTCTAGACCCTGCAGTGAGGTGTAGCCTCGTCCCCAGCACAGGACACCCCGCACCCCTTCCCTCTGCCCATCCTCCGGCTCCCATCACGCACCACCGGCCCCACGGGGGTCTCCATCAGCTCACACCCCGACCCCGTCTGCCACGGGACAGCTCTGCCCTGGGCAGCCACAGGGAAAAGCTGACTTTTCCAGTCAAAACCACAGAACTTCCATTTCCCCATCTCCAGCAGAAATTTAAAATTACAAAAGCCAAAACAATTGGTTGGGTTTTTTTTTCCTGACAATATTTATTTGAACCCCCGAGTGAATTTTTGTGTAACTCTGATCAGACTTCAGTGTTTGCTCTACTTGAGCATTCACTTGCATTTCAAAAGTTTTTTAATATTTACAGAAAGTGACTTTGGAGCTTGACCAATATTCACTGAAAAGCATCTGGGCATCGATTTGCCGTTATTAATTACATCCCTTATTAGTTACAGACGCCACCTCAGTGGGGAGCAAACCCAACTATATCGGGATTTCGTTTTCCTGGGTATTCACAGCATGACCTTTCCAATCGATTTGAAGACTGGGGTTTATCACCAAAAAAAAAAAAAAGCCTCTTCCCATCATTTTCAGTCCTGAGGAGGTTGGCAGAGTGTCCCCTCTGCTCCAGTCGGGACAAACCAGCTGAACCGCGGTGAATACCCAGTTCCTCAGACGTTCCCTGTTCCCTCCTGGCTGGATGGAAACTCACTGTGCGATGTGTCTGCTCTCCCCAAGGCAGCAGCAAAGCCTCTGCTCGGCTGCCCAGCCGCGTTCGGAGGGCTCCCGGTCACGGGGGGATGGGGCTTCACTCTTTTGTAAAAGGAATTTCATATGCTGAGACTCTTTGTACATATTTATAATGACTTTATTAAAAAAAAAAGAAAAATAACTGTTCAATGGCAAAAAACGGCTCCGGTTTTCATTTCCTGAGTTGTGAGCAGATAATTTCTTTTCACAACACTGTTTCTTCAATAAATTAGAAAAAAAAAAGGACTATAAGAATGGCAAAAAATATTCCCAGTACTTTCTCTTCCTTACCACCAAATAAAAATTAGTGATTTTGAAACAGTGCATCAAATGCTGTCTGTAGTGCAAGGCTCACACTGACCTTCTCATACACTTCTCCAAACGCATTTTCCAGGAGCATTTAGGAAAAAAAATCTGAATTAGAAATGGCTTTTCAAACCTTTTGAAAGCAGATACCACCAAGCCTTTAATTAATTGGGATTGCACTGAAAATTGATGCTGAAACCTTTCACAAATTGCCTGCCCACGGGCTGATCTCCCCTTTTAAGGTACCCTCGTACATAACAACCTTTCTGTGCCCACTGAAAACCTCGTTTCCTTCCTTACTGAGCTCCCTTCCCCATCCCAAAAAGGCTATTCCCATGGGAGATGGCCACTGGATTCCTTGGTTTATTCCTCCGCTTCCACGGGATCCATTTGACAAGAATCAGATCGCTTTGTCTTGGCAAGTAAAGCTTTTTCCTCCTCTGCTTCCCTGTATCCCTCAGTCCAGCTGGGGAGGGTCTGCCCTGCTCGGGCTCTGCCTCTCTGCGCTTCTCCTCCAGCCCTGCTCAGCTCTTACGGAGATGCTGAGCCTTCATCCCCTCACCATCAGCTCCCCTTCGCTTCCCTGCTCCCAGCAGAGTCCCCGGGCAGGCGGCAGTGGGTACCTGACACGGGCTCGTTTCCCCCAGGTTGGCTTCTTCCCGATGACCCACTCAAGCTGGATTGGAGCCGCTTCCATAGCAATGAGCCTGGGAGATGCCACCGCTGCCTCCTGAGGCGCTTTCTCTGGGTGTGCAGCGAAACAGCAGGGGCTGTTTAGGGAAAGAGAAAGCTCCGGAGCACAAACTGCAGCGGTGTCTGTGTGTGAGCACCCCCAGCAGAGATGGGATCACAGCGATACCCAGTCTGTTAATTCACCTGCTCACAACACGAGGAAGCTCCTCCAAGAGCTTCTCCTTCTCTGCAGACATTCAAACCCACCTGGACACGTTCCTGTGCAACCTGCTCTGGGTGGACCCGCTCTGGCAGGGGGTTGGACTGGATGATCTCCAGAGGTCCCTTCCAACCCCGTGTGACTCTGTGATTCCTGAAGCAGAGGAGTTACAACCAAGTCTCCACCGTCACCCTTCCAACCCCATGTCATTCTGTGATCCCTAAAGCAGATGAGTTACAACCAAGTCTCCACCGTCGCGGGTGGATTATCCAGGCTGGCTCCTCCAGCTGCTTCTCTATAATTCTGCCCTCCAGCCAGTAAATCCCACTAACCCCAGTCTCTCCAGGGGGGCCTGCATCCTGACGCCCCAGCATTCCTGGTATCCACAGTGCTGTGTGGGCTCCGGTGCCACGTGAGCACCTTAATTCTGGGTTTGGGCCCAGGCAGGTCCTGGGTGGCGCTGGGTTTTAACACCAGTAAGGTTTGCCCCAAGGGGCTGCGCTGAGGAGCGTATGGCAGAGATACCTCCATCTGGGATGGTCTCTTGGTTAGGATCTGAACTTTTCATCTCAGAATCAAACTGGACTTTAATCTCCCCCCGGCTTTCCCCCACCTCCCCATGTCCTCCCCATATGTCAGGAAATCAGAACGTCTGACCACGACAATTAAAGAGGAAAAACATTCCCAAGAAAAGAGAGTGTCATTTCCAGCTTTGCTACCGTGGTCTTTCCCAAGTTCCTTTGAGGTTTTATTAAGATGGCAATTTGTGGAATCAACTGCAAACCCCGACCCCTGGGAGGTGATGGTTCTCCCGTCCCCCATGAACTCTGGGCACAGGGCTCTGAAGCACCGTTCTGGAAGGGTTCTCAAAGGTAATGCAACAGCAACAGCCTAATTCCATGCAGTGACAGATTCAGGGCCATTTAATGTGAAGAATCTCACCAGCCGTGAGCCAGAGGACAGTTTTTTTTACAGTACACCAGGTTCTACACACACAATTCACAGTATGATTGCTTTATACACACAATATTTATCTAATGCTAAAAGGACAGGACAAAAGGAAACATCCCAGGCAGTTTATAACCAGGGACAGTCAAGAAAAAAATCTTGGCTGTGGCTTTACCGTGGCGTTTGCCATAACGTAAACCACATCTTTCTTGCCTTTGAGGATAAAGTTTCCAGCTACTAACAATTGTTCTGTCAGCTCCTGGAGCAAGGACAACAAATCCACAGGCAACTTAATAGGGATCACCAGATTTTCCAGCTCTTTCCTCTCCCCACACAGGTTACTCCATTTGTGGCTACGTTTTGGTTTCAGTACACCTGGAAATGAGCAGAGGTGGTGCCATCCTTCCAGCAACGCAGGGTTTCCACCGTGACAGAGCGACAAAGGGGACAGGTCTTCTCCCTGTCGAACCAGAGGCAGAGGCACTCCTCACAGAACACGTGCTGTGGAGACAAAAGGGTGTCAGCAGGATGGGGGCAGGAGATCCTGGCTCATCACTAAGTGCGACAGCCACAGCAGCAAGTAAGGATTAAGCCCAGGTGGGTTCAGTTCAGAGGGTTTTCTCTACCCTGTTTCCATCCTCAGTTCCCTGGGTTATTTCACAAGCTTTTCCTTAGCTCAAACAACCCCCTTCTTCCCCCTCCTCCTCCCTGCACTCGCTGTTTCCTGCTCACATCACCCAGTCTCAGCCAGTAGCTTCCCAGTCCCAGTTTCCCCTCCTCTATAAATGTCAGTTTTCACCCATTATCTTCTCCTCTCATTTCTATGCTGAGCCACATCAGGATTGTCCCCATGACCTGCCCTGGGTACAAAGGGTGCTCGGGGGGGCGTCCATCCAGGACACAGAGGGGAAGAGCAGGAGCAGGGCAAGAAGTGGGGGGTTAGAAGCTGTAAGAAGCTGAGACCCCCCCCAACATGTGGAGTCAGCAGAAATGTCATCAGACTCAGACACAAAGATAGGTTCTCTGGGGCTTACAGCTTGGTAACATCTGCACAGATGTTCACAGGAACAGTAAGAGACACTTTTGACGCAGAGGTGACCTACTTTAATTTGACAACCCTGTTACAAAGTATGGGAATGTTAAAGCTCTCCAAAAAAAGGCTCTTGAGCTTTATTTTGATATCACAAGAAAGCACACACCCCACCACTTCCATGCCCAGAAATGGCTGAATCGTTCTGCCCAATGTTTTCCTGCACACAGCCACACAGCAACCAGAGACAACCTCCAGGATGCACAACTACCACCACGACAGGCAAACATGATGGAGGTACAAGCAACAGAAGAGGAAATCTTGGGGAAGCACCACCAGATGTGCCACAAGGCACTGCCTTCACTGCCCTCGGACACATTAACAGAATCCACAGCAGCACGGTGTGTTCAAAGGGTCTTACTCGCCCCAGATCAGGGTTATGGCATCACTCAGAGCACGCTGTTCTTAAGCTCTAGGCTTTGCCAGTGGTTACCAAAGGAGAAACACCACAATTCCCACTGACTGGCAGCACTGACCAACTTCTATGTGCAGAACTCCTTTTATTCCTGGCCAGGGGTACAGAGGCCAGACCATGATTACCTGGTGCTGCACCAGTCTTCATGTGCCCTGTCGGGCTCACTCTGGATCTACGTCCCTCTGGTAGCACTTGCTCGTCATTCAGCTGCCCATTGACCATCCACTGTCCCCAAGGGTCAGATAAAAACGTCTTGCATTCCAGATCCAGGATCTGGAGTGCCAACTGGCAGCCCCTGGGCTACCAGGGTGCTCTTTTCCATCTTAGTAGCCATGATCACCAGGACAGATTGGGGGCTGACCTGCTGGAGAGCAGCTCTGAGGAAAAAGACCTGGGAGTCCTGGTGGACACCAGGATGATCATGAGCCAGCAATGGGCTCTTGTGGCCCATAAGGCAAATGGCATCCTGGGAGGCATCAGGAAGAGTGTGAGCAGCAGGTGGAGGGAGGTCATCCTGCCCCTCTACTCTCCATGGCGAGGTTCCATGTGGAGCACTGTGTCCAGTTCTGGGCTCCCCAGTTCCAGAAGGACAAGGAACTGCTGGACAGGGTACAACAGAGGGCCACAAAGATGATAAGGGGCCTGGAACATCTCTCTTAGGAGGAGAGGCTGAGGGACTTGGGTCTGGAGAAGACTGATGGGTGGCCTCATCAACACCGAGGGACTTGGGTCTGGAGAAGACTGATGGGGGGCCTCATCAATACTTATAAATAGTTAAAGCGTGGGTGTCAGGAGGATGGGGACAGTCTTTTCTCAGTGGTGCCCAGTGACAGGACAAGAGGAAATGGGCACAAACTTCAACATAGGAAGTTCCATCTAAACATGAGGAGAAACTTCTTTGCTGTGAGGGTGGCAGAGCCCTGGCAGAGGCTGCCCAGGGAGGTGGTGGAGTCTCCTTCTCTGGAGACATTCAAAACCTGCCTGGACACGTTCCTGTGCAACCTGCTCTGGCAGGGGGTTGGACTGGGTGGTCTCCAGAGGTCCCTTCCAACCCCATTATCGTTGTGTGATTCTGTGATCAGCCCCTGAAGAGTGGCTCAGCTACCACGAAACCCTGGCTATCCAGGAGAGGGCAATAAATATCCACTAGGACCTAGATCAAGACCCAGCAGATGATTTTAGGAGTACCTAGGCTAAGTGTGCCTCTCCCCAGCTGCAGAAGTCAACCAAATGAATGCCACCAGGGGAACATGACGTGGGAAGCTCAGGGTCTTACCTGGCACATAAGGATGAGAGGTTCCCTGAATTCCGCTTGGCAAATGGCACAGATGTCACCTGCCTCACTGCACTGCTGGCTGGTGGCACGGACTCCATAGGTCTGTTAGGGAGAGGTGGGAAAACATCCCCACGCCAAAGGGTTTGAAGATAATCTGGTTTGTGGCTAAGCATACACTTAGACACGTTTTTTCACACCCAGAGTCCCTGTGTGTCCTGGGAAGGACACTGGTGTTATGTCCCTGTGTATGGGGGAGGGAGCTCTGGGCACCAGCACACCGAACACGGGGAGTCTGGAGCTCTCTGCTCTCTGTTTTGTTTTCCCCTCGAGCTGACTCCATCTTTTAGTGCCTCCTCTTGTGGAGCAATGATAATGAAATTTAATGAGCTCAACAGGGAGCTGAAAGGATTAATTCAGCATCATTTGCAGAGGTGTTTAGTTAGTGGGAGGTATTATTATTAGCAAGTTAGACAATAGCAGAAAGAATAACAGGAGCAGCACCCACAGGCTTCCCACTTTTCTTTTTAAATACATGGAAAGTAAATGTTGCTTCTCCTGTTGTAGTAACAGTAACAGGGAAAAAGGAAACATGCTGAGGAAAAATGACCAGCCCAAGCCCACAGAATAAGCAAGACAAGCTCAAACAAAGTTCCTTTCCCCTACAATCTTTTTTCAGATTTTCAGATTTTACCATTTTAAAATATAAGCCAGAGTATTTCACTGCAACAGACCTTAATAGCAGCACTGCATAATGCCATGCCTGGGATAACTTCTGTGTCCTGCAGGATCTCTTCAATGTCACTGCACAGCAGGCATTACATACCTCCATTTAAAGTCTCTCTCACACTCTGCACTACAAAGTCTTGTCAGCTTCTTGCAGTTTTGGTCTCAGTGGATTAATCCATATTACACAGGGCTTTCAATCAGACCAAACAGGCCAGACCAGCTCCCATCTCTTACCGTAGCTGGGACAGAGCAGGTATGAGAAATGGTTCTTAACATCCCTGAGAAGAGATACCAGCTTATCCAGCCACGATACTGGATTGTTTTATTCCATGAACTTCATACACTGAGCAATTTTCAACCCCATCATTTAATAGTAACAAGTAAGCTATGAAACTGGTGCAATATGTCTGACTGCTTACCTGTGGGGTGCAAAGGACCTTCAGTGCCTTCCGGACACTTCCCACACGACCACAGATGTCAAAAGACTGCAATAAAGACATTCCATTTCAGAAACTTTTCACAAAGTGTGTGTGTGTGCACACGCACATGTGTGTACAATCCAGAAACTCAGGAAACACGTGGTACAGTGTCTCCAAATGGATATTGGAAAGACCAAAAAAAATCCCGAGTAACAATGGTGCCGAAAAATATTTTATAATGATCATGGAGTATGTAATAAATGTGAATCGACAGTGCAGAAGGGTAGTCCAAAAAGCTCTGGTAACAACAGTCTGCACACCAGGGGGACTTTACAGGACAGAAAGAGGAGCAGGCATTGGGGGGTTGCAGAAGGATAAATTTCCCAGCCCCCGAGGGAGGAAAGGACTAAAATTCCCACCCTGAGAAGGGAGTACCTGAAAAGCCTAGAAGTGAGGTTAGAAAACACTGCAGGCAGCTGGAGGAAGAAAGGGCAGTCTTTTCACATGGAAAAGGCAGAAAATGTCTTTCCTTAGCCTCTGGGGAAAAGGGGGATTTCCAGGGCAGGCAGAGCCACACAGCTTGACACTTCAAGGCCCAGATGGTGCTATGAAAGAAGGGGTGGGAATGGCCCGTCCGGCCGCAGAGAGTGACAGCAGAGTGCAGTGATTACATGCTACCGTGAGAAGGACAGCCTGAGGAATGGGAAGGACTGAGGCTGAGTTGCTCCCATCCACCTAGAGAGTGAGAAACTTAAAAAGCCAGGAAAGAAGTGAATTTCCAGCACGTTGGTACTTTGCAGACTCCCAAAGAGCAGGGGCAACACCACGTCCTCTTCTTCTCCCCTCCCTCCATTGCCCAGCAAACATGATGTAAGTGCATCTGGAGAGCGGGGCTCATTCTGGGCTCCCCATTAAAGACTAAAAGCAGTTCAGAGAAGGGCAGAAAATGAGCCTGCAGAAAATGATTTCTGCAAAGAGACATAAATATTTACAGTTTGGCTGAGCAGTAGGAAAGTAGAAGGAAAAGATGATAAACTACCTACAAATATCAAGGGGCTGAGGAAGAGAGGAGACACTCAGCAGTCTGAAAGTGAAGACAAGGGACTACTAATAAAAGGGAAAACAATTTGATAGCCCAATCTGGTATGCCAGCTTCATCTTCCCTATCTGCTGGCAGAACACAGGGAAAAAGACACTATGAACTGGACAAGATATGAAGAAATGAAGAACAGCCCTGCATTAGTTGGGAGAAGGGCCAGATGACATAACAGGACCTTTCCATTTCTAACCTGAGTGAGAAGCAGGGAGGGCAGGGGAAGATGCGATGCAGAACATGCAGAGCTGCAGTGGACTCGCAGGACAAAGGCACCAGAATGCCTGGAGTTGGCTTTTCAATTTTTTTATTTTTTTTTGGTTAGCATGATTAAGTGGGCTCACCGCAGGGAATGCCAATGAGATCATCATGCAATAGATGTGGAATCAAATGAAGGCACCAATAATGCTTCCAGTCAGCACGTAAAAAGGCTCCCAGGGTCCTTCCAGTAATGCTTCCAGTCAGCAACTACCACTCGAGGCTGCCCACTACTACAGACTCTTTCTCTTCTAATAAGGATAGGGACCAGCTCTTTCCCACAGCCCAATTCACAGCTTTTTCTGGTTGCTTTGCTGATCGTGTGCCTTCAATGCCTTTGCTCTGGCTCTGATGGCTCCTCTTCTCCCTGTCCATTTCCCTCCTTCATTTTTTTTTTCCTTTGCAGTTTCCTGCACCCCCAAAAGATGCAGGTTTCAGTATTCTCTTCAACATCCATTTATCACCCCATGCACTGAAGCCTATGTTGCATCCTATCTCTAACAATAGGACTGCAACAACTGGGTTCACAGCCAGTGAGTGCTTCTGGTCAGGACAGGCGAAAAATAACATCTGGATGCCAAAATCAGAGATTCACAGTCCAGACAGAGACACCAAGAGAGCTCCCATCAGCTACACTACCTACAACCTTCTGAGCCTCGAGCCTGCCCTTTGTCTAGGGAAAGGGGCTACAGCCCTAGCGGAGCCCTGGATTTTTGCCAGGAGCACAGAAGGTCTGAGTGCCAAATTGGCTTCTGTGGTTTTTCTAATGTGGTTTGTGGCTTTGCTAATGCGGACTCCTTTGGGTATATTTTCAGTGTCTTAGGCAAGGAATTAGACCTGAAGCTCTTGTGATTGTAAATGGGATGCGCGCACCTAGTATTTCATGATCTGTATTGGAAGAGCATGCTCCCACTTTTCTTTCCCTTCCAAGCAAAGTCTCCAGCATGCAGAGGTCTAACCCTAAGCTGGACACCTCTGTGGTACTAAGGAGTTGCCACACAATGACCTGGGCCATGTTCCTGCACCTATCACCCTTCAGCTGGCCTATCCATCCATTTACACCTCTGATGAACTCAATGAACTGAAGGAAGAACATGCATGTTAAAGGCATACGCTGTTGCCAAGGCACTTTCACACAAGTGTGCCCCACAGTCCTCATCCTAAGTTATACTCAAGGCCAGCAAACAGCTGTTACGCTGTTGCCAAGGCACTTTCACACAAGTGTGCCCCACAGTCCTCATCCTAAGTTATACTCAAGGCCAGTAAATAGCTGTCCCTCCTCATGGAGCTCCTAAATAATAGATGGACAGAACTCTTCAAAATGAGATTGCTTTTCCAATCTAGGTTATCGCACCATTTTTAAAGGCTTCATAGTAGATCAAGCTAGCTCAGAAAGAACTGCTTACACCTATGTGTCAGTACCCTAAATGCATTAATAGCCCTTCCTGGCCCCTATGAGCCTCACCTGGGGTCACCACCCCCAACCCCTGCTCATAGGCCCAAGAGCTCTATTTAAGCTCAGCCCTGGAGGTCCCTACTTCATGTTTGAGCTGTGCTGTGTGAGTTTCCAGCTCAGGCATAGCTATCCCTGTGCCTAGCTATAGATCCCATGGATTTGGACACCCCAGCACACAGAATGACTTCCCACCCTGACCCTAAACCTCTCCCATCGCTACGGCTATACCCTGTGGTTGTTAGACTGTGTCTGACCCTGGCTGCCATCACCAGACCTGATCCTGACTTGTGGACTGATACTCTGGCTTTATCTTGGACCTGCCTCACCATCTGAAGATCTTGTCTATTACCTCCAGGCCTGCCCTGCTCATCTTGTTTGGGTGCTGTGGAGCTGGGCCCTGGCTGGTGAGGCCATTGCCCTGCCAGCCATGGTTTTGTGCTTGGCTCCCCTTTCTCCAAGGAGCAGATGGCCCCCAGTGCTTCTTCATGCTATGATGATTTCTCCAGATGTAAGAAAAAGCATGTGAGACTGCAGGTAAGCATCCATCTCTGGGGGGGATACCTGAAAGATCACTTGAAATCTGTCCTTGTACCTGTGATCTGTGTATTACCTGGCCTCATGAGCCAGAAGGGCTGGATACTGTTGTCTAGAGGGGATCCAGACAATGAAATCTTTGGAAGGGACAAAAATCCTCTCTTGCAGCACAAAGAACTGGAATCATAGAGCTGAGAGAATGGATGGGTGTGCAGAGAGCTATGCTGGTCTCGTGTGTCTCTTATTCTGGTACTGTTTGCTCTGTTTCTGGCCTGATCACAGGCCTCCTGTGACCAAGTCACCTCACTTCCCATGAGCTCCTCTGCCTATTGTGCTGACAAAAACTGTAAATTCCTGGACAGCAGAGGTTGCATTGCCCCATTCCTACGCAACATATAGCTGCAACAGTAGCCACATGTCCTGCTCTATCCCTACACACTTGGGACTCTTCTAAATAAGCCCCATCTATTCAGTGTGCCTGGTTTACTTAGGCAGGACTTGGGTGATGCTCGCTCTCCCTGCTGCATTCAGTACCGAGTGACAGAGTACCTACCCTGCCCTGACAGGCAGAGGAAGGCTTAGAGAGAAACATGTAACTGCCTGCAACCTTCCTCCCAGTGCTGCATTTAGAAGCCTGGAGAGCTAACCTCTCTTCCTGTACTGGTTCCACAAGACTGCACTCCCATTCTCCTCTAGCCTTTACAGAAAGGCATTAGAAAGCAGCAATGACTTCATCAGCCTGATGCAACACCACACGAGCAGTCGCAGACCTTCCTTTAGCTCAGCAATGCCCACATACTGGTGAAGCAAAATGCTTTTAGCAGCTCAAGCACATGGTGTCCCCAGCTGGTGCAGCTTTCCTTCCTGGGAAGTGATAGCAACAATCAAAAAGGTGTATTTGTTCCCCTCTGCTGTGCTGCTTTCTCTGCTCTTGCTACAGCTCCCATAGAGATTATTAACATGGTGATACTCACCTTGCACAGGCTGTACAGAATGATCAGGATCCCACCTAGGAAGTAACTGCTGGATGGATCATCTCCCATGATGTATTTATACCACAGCTGGATGGGGACAAGGGAGCGGAACAGCTGGCTCAGCTCCTCAATAATCAGATAAAACTTTCCCTGTAAAACAAACAAGTGATACATGATTACTATTAGAAAAGCAAAATAAGAGCACTTAACAGGTGCAGGGCTTATAGGACTTGTGTTCATTGCCCACCTATGTACTTAAATGGTGCATCACGAGATGCATAACAGGTGCAGGGCTTATAGGACTTGTGTTCATTGCCCACCTATGTACTTAAATGGTGCAAAGGCCAGTATTCATGAGATGTGACTTGCTGTGCAGCCATTCAACTCAGTGCCTAGAAAGGATAACTGTCACTTCATTGTTTCTTAGTGTTCCTCTTGCTCTGTCATTTATCCAGCTATTCTACCCTTTTGAATCTTAAACTTATAGAGCAGGTTATGGATACACACCTTATTGCTTATCTGTGCAATGCTACTGAACGCTAGCACCAGAGCTTAAAGCTTACAGGGATGAATATGATGTCAGTTGTAGATAACAAAGGAAAGGAATGAAAGGTAAGTCTCCTTGATGCTATACCCCCTTCTGAAGGTACAAGAATTTAAATGTAGTTTGACATCAGTCTTCCTGACAACTTTCTCATCATCCCAAAGAATCAAGCTAATTACCTATTTGCCATTATCCTTCCCCTTCCACTCAGGTGTGTGTTGGATCTTGTACATCACACAGACAAAAAGTCTGGCTCTGGGAAAAAAAAACCCCTCAAGGCATTTTAAACTCAGAGATTCCAAACCTTTCCAAGGACCTGAAGGAAAAGAAGAGGGAAGGGGAGAAGCATGCTGGCTGAAACACTTCTCTCTCAAAAGAGACTCAAAGAATGGGCAACATCCTTTGTAAACCTTCACCAAAGCTGTCCTTGCCATTCTGGTGTTTACTCCAATTAGAGAGCTTTCCTTCCTTGAAGGACACCTGTAAGGTAACATAAACTCCCTCCTGCCTTACTACAACCATGGTGTGCAACAATGGAAATGGATTTTTCTTACTATGTAATTTCTATTTTAAAGCACCTAAGACTGGGGCTGAGAAGCTGGCTAAATAAAGCTATCTAATTTAGCCTCCCTCTCCCCCCCAGTCTTAATGAGGACCTGTTTATGTTCTGTCCCACACTATTTAAAAGGGACAGCTGGTGACAGGCCACTAGGTCAGGGCAAGTTGTGAGCCCAGTACTATGCTCAACCTGCAGTGACATTATCTGGACTGATGGATTTGGGTTTTGACATGTCAAAATTCTTTTATTTGATAAGATCGTGGAGAAGGGGGAAATTCCCCTGGAATTTTGCTGCGTTGTCCCAGCTAGCTTTGTCATCGGTGATGTCATCGCAGGTCAACCGTTAATTGGTGAGATTTGGAGTGGGGATTAAGTCCTCTGCAATCCACGAGGCCAGCAGCAGCCCCTCCCCAGGGTCTGGGAGATGAGATCACTCGCAGGCCATCCTGCTGCAGCGAGCAAATCGAATCCTTCAGAGAGCTCTGGCATTCTCATGATCTCATTTCCCCCCTGGGACAAGGAGTGAGGTCACACCAGCGGTTGCTAACGGACCTGGGCTGCTTTCTTCCTCTTTCCATCCCCTCCTCCTCCTTAATCCCAGGTGGCATCACATAGCAAAAAATATAACAGCAACAATCTGGGGGCCTAAATGCAAGCAATTTATTAAATTAGCGCAGAGGTCTCTATCCAGCCTCGTGCTTCAATACAATCATCGTTTATTTCAGGAGCCCCCGTGACAGAGGGTCGCAGTCTGCTAATGACTATGCTGTCACCTCCTTCCCTTCTCACAGGCGGTTCTTTCTCTGCCTCCCCCTCCTCAGCCAGCTCTGATGAAAGCCACCAGCAAGCTAAAGGCAACAAACTGCTTTCTCTGCCTCGTTCCTCCCACCAGGCTCACAGTCAGCTTCTTTTATTTTAGCCTAACCTCTCTTCCTGTACTGGTTCCACAAGACTGCACTCCCATTCTCCTCTAGCCTTTACAGAAAGGCATTAGAAAGCAGCAATGACTTCATCAGCCTGATGCAACACCACACGAGCAGTCGCAGACCTTCCTTTAGCTCAGCAATGCCCACATACTGGTGAAGCAAAATGCTTTTAGCAGCTCAAGCACATGGTGTCCCCAGCTGGTGCAGCTTTCCTTCCTGGGAAGTGATAGCAACAATCAAAAAGGTGTATTTGTTCCCCTCTGCTGTGCTGCTTTCTCTGCTCTTGCTACAGCTCCCATAGAGATTATTAACATGGTGATACTCACCTTGCACAGGCTGTACAGAATGATCAGGATCCCACCTAGGAAGTAACTGCTGGATGGATCATCTCCCATGATGTATTTATACCACAGCTGGATGGGGACAAGGGAGCGGAACAGCTGGCTCAGCTCCTCAATAATCAGATAAAACTTTCCCTGTAAAACAAACAAGTGATACATGATTACTATTAGAAAAGCAAAATAAGAGCACTTAACAGGTGCAGGGCTTATAGGACTTGTGTTCATTGCCCACCTATGTACTTAAATGGTGCAAAGGCCAGTATTCATGAGATGTGACTTGCTGTGCAGCCATTCAACTCAGTGCCTAGAAAGGATAACTGTCACTTCATTGTTTCTTAGTGTTCCTCTTGCTCTGTCATTTATCCAGCTATTCTACCCTTTTGAATCTTAAACTTATAGAGCAGGTTATGGATACACACCTTATTGCTTATCTGTGCAATGCTACTGAATGCTAGCACCAGAGCTTAAAGCTTGTAAGCTTTAAGGGATGAATATGATGTCAGTTGTAGATAACAAAGGAAAGGAATGAAAGGTAAGTCTCCTTGATGCTATACCCCCTTCTGAAGGTACAAGAATTTAAATGTAGTTTGACATCAGTCTTCCTGACAACTTTCTCATCATCCCAAAGAATCAAGCTAATTACCTATTTGCCATTATCCTTCCCCTTCCACTCAGGTGTGTGTTGGATCTTGTACATCACACAGACAAAAAGTCTGGCTCTGGGAAAAAAAAACCCCTCAAGGCATTTTAAACTCAGAGATTCCAAGCCTTTCCAAGGACCTGAAGGAAAAGAAGAGGGAAGGGGGAAGCATGCTGGCTGAAACACTTCTCTCTCAAAAGAGACTCAAAGAATGGGCAACATCCTTTGTAAACCTTCACCAAAGCTGTCCTTGCCATTCTGGTGTTTACTCCAATTAGAGAGCTTTCCTTCCTTGAAGGACACCTGTAAGGTAACATAAACTCCCTCCTGCCTTACTACAACCATGGTGTGCAACAATGGAAATGGATTTTTCTTACTATGTAATTTCTATTTTAAAGCACCTAAGACTGGGGCTGAGAAGCTGGCTAAATAAAGCTATCTAATTTAGCCTCCCTCTCCCCCCCAGTCTTAATGAGGACCTGTTTATGTTCTGTCCCACACTATTTAAAAGGGACAGCTGGTGACAGGCCACTAGGTCAGGGCAAGTTGTGAGCCCAGTACTATGCTCAACCTGCAGTGACATTATCTGGACTGATGGATTTGGGTTTTGACATGTCAAAATTCTTTTATTTGATAAGATCGTGGAGAAGGGGGAAATTCCCCTGGAATTTTGCTGCGTTGTCCCAGCTAGCTTTGTCATCGGTGATGTCATCGCAGGTCAACCGTTAATTGGTGAGATTTGGAGTGGGGATTAAGTCCTCTGCAATCCACGAGGCCAGCAGCAGCCCCTCCCCAGGGTCTGGGAGATGAGATCACTCGCAGGCCATCCTGCTGCAGCGAGCAAATCGAATCCTTCAGAGAGCTCTGGCATTCTCATGATCTCATTTCCCCCCTGGGACAAGGAGTGAGGTCACACCAGCGGTTGCTAACGGACCTGGGCTGCTTTCTTCCTCTTTCCATCCCCTCCTCCTCCTTAATCCCAGGTGGCATCACATAGCAAAAAATATAACAGCAACAATCTGGGGGCCTAAATGCAAGCAATTTATTAAATTAGCGCAGAGGTCTCTATCCAGCCTCGTGCTTCAATACAATCATCGTTTATTTCAGGAGCCCCCGTGACAGAGGGTCGCAGTCTGCTAATGACTATGCTGTCACCTCCTTCCCTTCTCACAGGCGGTTCTTTCTCTGCCTCCCCCTCCTCAGCCAGCTCTGATGAAAGCCACCAGCAAGCTAAAGGCAACAAACTGCTTTCTCTGCCTCGTTCCTCCCACCAGGCTCACAGTCAGCTTCTTTTATTTTAGCCTTGCTTCCCCAGCAGGCTGGGCTGGTCACCGCTTTCTTTCTCATTGCATCAGATGGAACTTCGGGATGTTCCTCCCACCAGGCTCACAGTCAGCTTCTTTTATTTTAGCCTTGCTTCCCCAGCAGGCTGGGCTGGTCACCGCTTTCTTTCTCGTTGCATCAGATGGAACCTCAGGATTCAACATGTGAGGCATCAAAGCTGAAATTTTTCTACAACAGAAGTTTTTGAGGCACCAAAAAAACGAGAGCCCACAGGAAGACATAAGGAAAGATGGGTCACAGGAATCCCTAGAGGTCCAGCTACCCTGCAGAACTGGGAAGTGATAGAGTGTGGCTCTAAAATGATCATGCAGCAAGTGACAGATTTTAAATTTCTAACAAAAAAAAAAATAATCTCCACCCTTTACAGAGCTTTTATAATGCCTTTATCTAATGCAAGTCCTCAGTTTTCAATGGCAGCTGCAGGATATTGGGATTTCTTAGCAGCTAGATACTTGTGAACAGCCTCACAAGAGTGAAATTGAGTTTTAAACGGGTGCATCTCTCCATCCAGCCCATTAACACCACTCACTTGACCATTTAAGAGAGGCCTATTGATAAGCTTAGAGTGATTACAGTGAGGAGGGAAGCATTACAAGCACAGCTGAGCATCATTTAGAAGAGAACTAGTGCTATGGTAAACACTTACAGAAACATAAGGTTTGTCAGGTACCTCAGGGCAACACACCAGCCCTTTTTTCAAACAAGGAAAAGTGCCTAGAAAATCAGAATTAATTCTACAAAGGGCTGCAGTGGAAGCGGGGTCTTCCTTCTGAGCCAGAAGCTTAGAAAATGAGGAGTTCTCCCTATAATTTCAGCAGCAAAATTTAGCCTTCTGATAGCAGTAACTCATTGCAGGTGGCACCTAGAATTGGTAAGTGCACTCAATATACCTTTGTCTTCTGCTTTGCAGCTTTGTTATATCTTGGCTAGGTTATATCTTGTATCTAGGCTGAAGTTTTCAAAGCCAGATCCTTGTCTCGAGCTGTATTGTGTCTGAAAACTTCAGCTAAAGCACTTCAGATATTTCTCATCAAGATCAGGAAGAGCTGTGTGTTATATCAAGCACAAATACAACTGTTTCTCCTGTGCATCTGACTGGTCTTCCTTCTGAGCCAGAAGCTTAGAAAATGAGGAGTTCTCCCTATAATTTCAGCAGCAAAATTTAGCCTTCTGATAGCAGTAACTCATTGCAGGTGGCACCTAGAATTGGTAAGTGCACTCAATATACCTTTGTCTTCTGCTTTGCAGCTTTGTTATATCTTGGCTAGGTTATATCTTGTATCTAGGCTGAAGTTTTCAAAGCCAGATCCTTGTCTCGAGCTGTATTGTGTCTGAAAACTTCAGCTAAAGCACTTCAGATATTTCTCATCAAGATCAGGAAGAGCTGTGTGTTATATCAAGCACAAATACAACTGTTTCTCCTGTGCATCTGACTTGGAAGAGCAGCTTGAAATAAGGCAAGGCCCACCTCCGTTAGGTGTAACCCATGTAAATCTGGGAATCTTCTCTTGAATACACCCTATAGACCTTGGAAGAGCAGCTTGAAATAAGGCAAGGCTCACCTCTGTTAGGTGACTTCTCCTATTTCATAAAAATCCATGTAAATCCGAGAATCTTCTCTTGAATACACTCTATAGAGATTGAGCAGCTCTCTAAGATTAGCAAAAGCTATTTTTGAGCCAGCCTCTATAGATGACAGGACTGTGCTAGAGCCAGCCTTCCAGACCAAGTGTATCTCCTTTCTGGACTGCAGGGATTAGATTAAATTGGTTATTACCTGAAATTACAGCTCCTGGTTAGAGTCGAGTCCAATACCAGGAAAGTTCCTGTTCTCATCAAGCCTTTGCAACAGGTTGGAGTTAACTCCTGAGTAAAACGTAAGGAGCACATTCTGACCCTGCTTCCTCGGCAGGTTCCTGTAGGAGCTGACAGTCTGCTGCTCCTGTTATCAAGCACTTCATTAGCACAAGTGGCAAAGGACTGTGCTGTGGATCTAATTATAGCAACTCTGCTGATGAGCCCTGTGATACCACATGGTGAAATTTTGATACTTTTTTTTTTTTTTTTCCAGAAGGCTTTGTTAAAACCTAAGTCAATGACTCATGTATAACCCTCCATTTTCTTCTACCTCCTTCACCACATAGAAGGACCATTTTTATACTTAAAATCAAGCACTTATTTTGGAAGAGCAGAGTTCAGGATTTCCATACAATTGCAGTTTTCCTTCTGTACATGCAGCATTATACAGATTCTAATCATGTGAACACACACTATTTTTTCACAGAGGGTGAGTGATATTTATTAAGCGTGTAATTTTTAGTACCTTGTTATACCCTTACTACTTGATGGCAGATCTGCATCCTATCACTTCATGCTATTTGAGCTCTGCTCAGAGTAGCACATTACTCAAATTTCTTCAGTCTTTTTATGACATCACCACTAGAGTAAAATATTAAAAAAAAAAAAAAAATCCCATTGCTGGCTGACATAAGGGACAGCCATTCTCTGCATTTCCTAAATGAAAACTTGAGACACGGAAAGACTAAGGTTAAGGTAAGGTTTTTTTGGTGTCCAAGATGAGATGTCTGAGATTAGACTTTATATAAAGCACTTAATTTTATTGATCATGTTACCATTAAAAGCTAAACCACTGACTTCAGTTTGTAGTTGTACATGGCTTTTCTAGAATCACAGAGGAATTATTTGGCAAAGAAAAGGATGGAATTTAATTCTCTAGCATTCAACTCTAACTTGTAGAATGATGTTGTTCTTCCAATGGTCTCTTTGTTCTGTATGTACTTTCCAGTTTCTACAGCAGCTTCTTTCAATAGCTCACCTTGCTTCATCCGTGGGGCACAGCATACACTGGTGATGGACGGGAGAAGTCTTACAGAAAAATAACATGGAATTACATAATTAAAAAACGAATTGCAATATATACACACCAAAGGGGGCAAAATACAACTACAGATGCAATGCTAATTCCCACACAGCCTAACCCAGCATCAATTTTGTAGTCTCTTTTGACATAAGGCTTTGTGGAAGTGTGCATGTGTGCCTCCACAGAAGGAAACAGAAAGGCACACCAAGGTTTTACACAGCGGAATTAAAATGGGATGTCAGAGAAGTGAGAGAAGTTGCAATGAGGCAA